CCAAACGTCCCAACCACCCAGCTAGAGTTTCTTCAGGTTGGAGTCTTGATTCTCTGCACAAATCCTGTAGTTCAGTTCTGGTGCAAGCATAGTAGGCAGTAGCAACTCGGTTAGTTGTTGTTGTAGGCTGAACTACTGCTGAGGGAGTCATTGCTGCTGTTATTGCTTCAGGCAGGAGGGGCAGATGCACTCTTCCGCTCTATTCTCCCTTTCGTCGGCATGAAGGCGTGGTCGTCAGAAGTGATGCTGCGTCGGTGGGCGGAGTCGCTGACCGAACTCTCGCGGGTTCCTCCGAAGCTCCACCCTTCTCTTCCGGTTCTTCTACTCGGTCTCCCTCTTGCTCGGCGCCATCTTGTCGTGGCGTTTCAGGATTCTCTTTCGCAGCCGCTTCTTTGACCGCTTGAACGGTCATACGCAGCTGGGCTTTCAAACTTAAATTCTTATGCATTAGATCGGTTACAGTACGAAAAGTTGCAGTTAACACTTGTCATATTGTGGGGCCACCCTCTCATCCGCGGCGTGTTCCTCCATCTCCAGATCTCTGCGAAGCTCGGATGGAAGCTCGCGACCCCTTAATCTAGACGCCAGCATAAAGGGGGAGAACCGGCCGATCGGCACCGGTTCTTCACTCTCCCGAGCATATTTTAGGCAACAGGCACACTCCCGGGTGAGAGTTGGGTTTACTTCACCCGCCAGGTTGACTCTGGCGAGGAACACAGTGTCGAGGGGCCTGAACAGGACCCGCTCGTCGCCCATTATACACCCGAATGCCGCGGGGTGCACATACACTTCTCTCTCTTTCGGGGCTCCGTCTTCGGAAGCTCCCTCTTCTCCCTTCCGCGAAAGGCGTCCGCTGATAAATCTCTCACTCGTTCCGCCCGCCTGGTGGTAAGCGATATGCGCCTCCAGTTCCATGAAATGTTCTACTTGGCGTTTTCCACTGCACCAAGGGCAGTTCTTAACTAATTCTAGCTCCAACGTGCTTTCCCCTGATCCCATCCTCGTCGCCATGTGCAGGCCGGGAGCAGTCCGAGGCCCCTTTTTCGCACGGCGGGCTGTGGCCAGCAGCCCGGACACGCCAGGTCGGGGAAGGCAGGCGGCACGCTAGAATTAGGCACGGACGCTTAATGGTTGTTTAAGATTGTTTACTTACACCGTAGATGGTCGCGGTGCAGACTGGAAAGCTTCCAGGAATACTTCGCTTAAATCCTAGTTTTAGGACTCGGACAGAGCTCTGGATTCACTCTCACAAAGTTTTCGAGGCTCCGTGGAACTTTTGCGCGCAGGGAAAGGGTACGTCGAGGATTGCGCTCAGCGACGGGGAGAGGCTAGAGGCTGATCAGACCCCTGTTGCCTTCTTGATATTCACGCTGGGTCCAATAGGCTTCGCAGCGCTTAGAGATCTTCACGAGACGTGAAGTCTCCTCCTCCTGATGTTTGTGGAGTCCTCCAACTTGGGCGGAAACCACTCAAGCCTCTTATACAGCTAGCAAGCCAATCGCTAGCCGCCACGTAGGAATAATTTAGAACTGACCAATAGTGGGGCACGAATCTAAATACAAATGGCGGGAACTCCTTGCAACGTGCATTTCTGTGCTGCAACGAAGAAATGCACCCTGCAAAGAAAGCTACAAACGGCGGGAAAATAATTTAGCCGTGCCGAAGCGCACACAAACAAAAATCACACCCTTGGGTTGTGACAAAAAGGTCCACCCAAGAGCTTTTCAAAAAGTCCAGCAAAGTCATCTCAAAGAAGTCCTTCCAAATCAATATGATTGCTATTTACAATATAAATACATTAATGTAGCTATGTTACTCATCTATAAGTGATCGAGTACAAAATTCTGGGGTATTTTTGGTGAAAATAGGGTATCGGGCCTTGGTTCAGGAACCAATCCCCCATTTATAACATTGTTTCTTATGAGAAAATTGGTTCTGAGTTACGTTTTGACTTAAGATGCGGTTTTCAGGAACCAGTTGGATCGTAAGTCCAAGGACTGCCTGTATTTGTATTAGTATTTTCTGTGTGACATTACATCACAGCTATATATAATCTCTGATATTTTCCTAAAGTGGGAAGGCATATTTGCCTGCTATAGGAATTCTTATGCCACATGTTTAGTACTGGTGCAGCCCTGCCAGTGCCAGCAGTGATGGAAGTGCTAATACAAACCAACACAAATGTTTTCCAGTGGTATGATCTAACCTTGATGTTAAACAAACATTGCAAGTCCTGCTGTAGTTGTACCAACTGAGTCTCAAATTATGTCAGTATATAATTTTGTGGGTGCACCCAGTATTGTTAGAGTTCAAGGGTGCCTACACATGAGCACAGAGACTGCTCCAATGCGCTGGAATTCTACTCTGGCATACTGGATTAATTGAGTCTGCTGTAGCGTGGCAATTTGCCATGCTTCAGCAGCCTCCTGCGTCTCATGTATCAGCGTCCCCATGCTTAAAAATGGCAGTGTGGGCGCTTTACCTAAAGCTCATCGAATGAGCTTTAGTTCAAGTTTCCAAGCTGCCATTTTTAAGCGCAGGATGCTGATACGTGAAACATGGTGGCACTTTAATTAGAGTGAATCTCGGAGCCGCTCTAATTAAAGCACCACCCCTCCCACCTCCGGAGCATGTGTAAAAGTAGGCTATAAACAGATACTGCATTTGGTGCGGGTCTGGTGGTGCTGCAACTTTTCCCACAATGGAGAAGTTGTAGAACTGACATGTTCACACATTGCCTATCAAAGCAGGTTTAAAGGATAGCTGAATGAACCATGTGAGCACACATACCAGTGTATCTGGTGGTAGTCAAGTGTCTGTATATCTCCCAACTCTGCCAGCCCACTGATTGATCAAATTGCAGCAGCAGG